AGATTCAAATACAGAGTCTTCTAAATAAAAATTAAAAGGTCCAAAATACAATAAAAAAATTACTCATCATTCTCATAACCAGGAAAATCACAACGTGGATTAGAAAGATGACCAACTTGGGGCACCTGGATGGCTCAGTCGTTTGGGCACCTGACTCTTGATTTCACCTCAGGTTGTAATATCAGGGTTGTGTGATCAGGCCCACATCAGGTTCTACATTCAGCATGGAGTCTGCTTGGGACTCTCCTTCTTCCTCTCCCTCTGTCCCTCTCCCCTCCCCACCCTGTAAAATAAATAAATAAATAAAGTCTTTAAAAAAGATAATCAACTGATACCAATAAGAAGATGAATCTGATTTTAGAATATGAGACATATTCTAAAGCAGTCACCATAAAATTGCTCCAACAAATAATTATGAATTCTCTTAAAACAAAAAAATAAAACCACAGCAAAGAAAGAGAAAATATTTTTTAAAATACTAAATGGAAATTATAGAACTGAAAAATACAGTAGTAACTGAACAAAAAACTTACTAGACGGGCTCATGGTAGAGTGGAGATGACAGAAGACAGAATCAGTGAACTTAATAAAAGCTCAATAAAATTTACTCAATCTGACCAACATAGTAACAATAGACAACTTAAAAAAAAAAAAAAAAGAACAGAATTCCCAGGACAATATGGACAATAAAAAAAAAAAAATCTTACATTTGTCTCATCAGAGTCTCAGGAGGAAAAAATAATGTGGGGCTGAAAATGTATTTGGAGAAATAACGGCTGAAAAATTCTAAAAGTGGCAGAAGACCTAAACCCATAGAATCGAGAAGCCTAGTGAACCCCAACTAAGTAGACACAAAGAAATTCATGCAAAGACAAATAATAGCTAAACATAGGAAAACTCAAGATGAAGAAAACAATTTCTTTAAACAACCAGGGGGAAATGACAAATGAATTGGAAGGAATAACAATTCAAAGGATAGCATATTTCTCATTAGAAACAATGGTGGCCTAAAGAAAGGGGCCCATGGTTCAAGTGCAGAAGTGTAACGACTGTCAACCATGAATTCTGTACCTGGTGAAACTATCTATTAGAAATGAAGGGGAAATAAAGACATCTCTTAGACAAGGAAAAACTGAGAGAATGTGCTGCTAGTAAACCTACATTTAAAGAATGGCTAAAGGGTCATGAAGCAAACCTCAATACAGAATATGTTCTGTGGGAACCCATAGGGAATCACAGTAGATATCAGTAACAGAAAGACAAAAATAAAACAATTGGAAATTAAACAGTACACTACTAAGCAACCCATGGGCCCAAAAGGAAGTCTCCAAAAGATTTAAAAACACATAGAGATAAATTAAAATACAACCTATCACAGTTGGTAGGATTCGGCTAACGCATTACTGAGAGGGAAATGTATAGCACTCAGTCTTTCCATTAAAAAGGAGGAAAGATCTCAAATCAATAATCCAAGTTCCTATTCCAAAAGGCTAGAAAAAGAAGAGCAAAGTAGAGCCAAAGCAGGCAGATGGAAGGAAATCATAAAAATAAGAGCAGACATAAATGAAACTGAAAACAGCAAAACAAGAAAAAAAATCAATGAAACAAAAAGCTGGTTCTTTGAAAAAAAAAATCAATAGCACTCCAGTGAAATGGGCATATAAATTGAGAGGGGACACAAATCACTAATACTGGGAACAAAATAGGGGATATTGCTATAGATTTCTGTAGCCATTAAAAGGATAATAAAGGAAAACAACTAACAACTTTACTCTCGTAAGTTTGACCACTTAGAAGAAATAGACCAGTTTCTCAAAAACCCTGAACTAACAAACTTCAGTGGAGATAAAATAGATACCATAACCATTAAAGAAATAGAATTTGTAATTTAAACTCCAAAAGAGATTCCCTGGCCCCAGTGGATTTACTGGAGAATTTTAGCAAACATTTAAATAAGATTAACATCAATTTTACCCAATCTCTTCCAGAAAAGAGAAGAGGCAGTAACACTTGCCAACTCTTATTATGAGGCATGTATTATATTGATACCAAAACCAGGAAAAGACAGTACAAAAAAAGAAAAAAACCACAGATCCAATATCTCTCAGGAATTTAAAAACAAAAATCCTCAACAAAATATTACCCAACACAATCCAACAATGTATATAAATAATTCTTTTTTTAAGGATTTTATCTTACTATTTTTTATTGCGGCAGAGGCACAGAGAGAGAGGGAGAGAAAGAATTTGAAGCAGGCTCCATGCCCAGTGTGGGACCCAATGCAGGGCTCTGTTTCACAACCCTGAGACCATGACCTGAGCCAAAAAATCAGGAGTCAGATGCTTAACTGACTGAGCCACCCATGCGCCCCTATACGGTAAGTCTATACACCACGATGAATTGGGGATTTATTCCAAGAATGCAAAGGTGGTTCAACATTCAAAAATCATTCAATGTAATCCACCATATCAACAAATTAAACAAGAAGAATCATATGATTATATCAATGAAAATAGATAAAAACACATTTGAAAATGCAGCATGCTTCATGATAAAAACTCTCAGCAAATTAGAAACAGACAGAACTACCACAGCTTCATAAAGAGCACTTACAAGAAACCCGCCAACGTCGTACTTAATTGAGCAACTGGATGCATTGTCCTAAGATCAGGCACCAAGTGAGGATGGATGGTCACTCTTGCTACTCATACTGACCAGAGTACAGGAAGTTCTAGCCAGTGCCATAGGCAAAAAAAGAAATAAAAGATACAGAGAGAAGAAACAGAGAAATAAAATTGTGCCAATTTTCAGACTGTCTAAGTAAAAAATCCCAAGGAATCTATTTAAAAAACAAAACAGAACAAAACACCCAACATTCCAGAACCAAAAAGTGAGTTCAGCAAGCTTATGGAACATAACATCGACACACAAAGATCAACTGCATTTTATAGACTACTCACAAGCATGTGGAAACTAAAATTGAAAGACATGACAGAATTTACCTTCATGCCAGAGAAAGTGAAATATTTTGGTATACGCTTAACAAAACATATCCAAGATTTGTATGCTGAAAATTATTTTTAAAAAACTGGTAAAAGAAGTCAAAGAAGATCTCTAATACATGGAAAGACATTCCATTAAAGGCATTAGAAGACTCAACATAGTTAGAATGTCAATTCCCTCCAATTTGATATATATATATGTTTAATGCAATTCCTATTAAAATCCCAGCAAGGTTGTTTGTGGACACGGACAAATTTATTCTAAAATGTATATGGAAAAGCACAAGCCCTTGAATAGCCAAATAATATAGAAAAAGAAGGAAGGAATCATTCTACCTAATACTAAGGTTTGTTACTTAGTTATAGTAATCAAGGCAGTGGTATTGCTGGATAAATAGACACATGGGTTAATGAAACAGAATAGACCAGAGATAGCCCTCCACAAATATGTCCAATTAATATTTGACAAAGGTGCAAAAGTAATTCAGTGGAGAAAAATGGCCTTTTTAACAAATACTGCCAGAGCAATTAGATATCCGTAAGGGGGAAAAAAAAACTGAACCCAGACCTTATAAGTTACAGAAAAATTAACTCAAACTGGATCATGGGCTTAAATGTAAAACATAAAACTATGAAACATTTAGGGGAAAAAAGGATGAAAAAATCTTTGTGATCTCCAGCTAAGCAGAGAATTTAGACTTGACACCAAATGTGAAGTCAGTAAAAGAAAATTGGTGAATAGGACTTGACCAAAATTAAAAATGTTTGCTCTGCAAAACACCCTGTTAAGAGGATGAAAAGACAAGCTATGTACTGGAGAGAAATGTTTGCAAACCACGTATCTGATACAAAGGATAAGTATGTGGCATATACAAAGAACTTGCAAAACTCAACAGTAACAAAACCTAATAGTCCGTTCAGAAAATGAGCCAAAGTCATGAAGAGCTATTTCACTGCAGAGGATACGCAGATGGCAAATAAGCACACCAAGAGACATTCGGCTTCATTAGCCATTAAGGAAAGGCAAAGAAAAAAACCACAATGAATTATGATGACACACCTATCAGGACCGCTGAAATAAAGAAGAGTGACGATGTCAAATGCTGGCCAGGACTGCTGGTGAGAATGTAAAATGGTACGGTTACTCTAGAAAACAATTTGGTAGTTTCTTATCAAAGTAAACAGGCAACTACCATACAAGCCAACAATCACACCCCTGGGCAGAGGGCAGAATTTCCAAAGAAATGGAAACCTGACATTCACACAAACACCTGGGCATGAATATTTATAGTCGCTTTATACATCATAGACAAAATGTGCAGATGACCTAGATGTCCCTTAATAGGTAACTGGTTGAACAAACCAGTTGAAAAATACATCCATACTGTGGACTCCTGCTCAGCAATAAAACAGAATGAACTACTGACATATATAAAAACTGGAATCAAATTTGATGGAATTATGCCGAGTGGGGGGGGGAAGCCAATCCCCAAGGTTACATACTATATGATTCCATTTATAGGAGATTTGGAAATGACAAGATTTTTGGAACAGAGGACAGAGTAGAGGTTGTCAGGGGCTAAGGACAGGGTAGAGCAGGAGGGAGTAAAGATAGCAACAGGGGGACCCTGTGGTGACAGCACTGCTCTGTCTTGACTGTGTGCTATCTCCACACGCCCGCACACAGGAGGCGACTGCGCAGGTGCAAGTACACACATGGGCAAATGAGTGCAAGTCAAACTGGGAAAACACAAAGACTGCTGGATGATATCATGTCAATATCCTGGCTGTGAGATTGCCCGGCAGTGTTCTGAGATGTTATCACTGGGGGAAACCGGATAAAAGGTACAGGGGACTCTTGCTATATTATTTCTCACAACTGTGTGTGAATCTACGATCATCTCCAAATAAAAGTCAACAACCCTGCAAGTCAGAACTTCCTCCCTCCCCGATCTTTCCCCCCACCCCACCACCCCCAGCTAGTTGTTGAACATTTACCTACACAGAATTGCTTGTCTTTGGAGAACGGACTTTGTGTTAGGCTTCTTCCCTGAGTGCCTCACAGGAGTCGAAGTTGGTGGCTGGAGACCGTGGCTTTACCATCCTTGACTTCAAGTTTCCTCCCCTGTAAAATGGAGACAGGACTAGAGTGAAGGAAAATGAATGATTATGCAGAACCTACTTTTACCTACATTACCTTCCCTCATCCTCTCGGCTAGCCCAGTGAGCCAGGCATTAGGAGTGTCCAAGTTTCAGATGACGAGACAGGCTAAGGAACATGCCTATCATAGAACATGGCCAGGTTGGAGTCCACAGTCCAGGCATGTTTGGTTACGGCTGGCTGCCTGGGAGCTTATCCACTCTCTGACCCTAAACCATACAAGGCGATGTCTCCCAGTGGAAAGTGAGCTAGGCAGAGAATGCCTGAGCCTCTAAGTGTGAGTTGTGGGGTGGGGAGGAGGGCTAGGAGGGACGCAGCCTGCTCCTACCAGGTAGATACAGTTGCATCAGGAGCCACAGACCTCACTGAGCCAGCATCTCTCCACTGTGGAGCTAGAAGAGAGAGCTACTCATTTCCCCCTGGCTGGTTGTCTGTTCCCTGCCTGCAGTATGTAGACAAAGCAACCCCAAAGGCCCAGCACTCTCTCCTTAGAGACCAGGCAGGGGCTCAAGATCAGCAGCTGTCAGCCATGGGGACATGGGTATGTAGAACCCCGAAGGACACTGGCCGGGGCGGGGGTTGGGGGGATAACCTTGGTCCTGGGGCCAGGCCCGGCCCATGAAGAAAGGAAGGAAATATCTGCTTGGGTTAGAGATCACATCGCCCAACAGAGGCTTACCTTCCAACCCTTGGCGATCTCCTTGGTGCTTTCCTCACAAACTCTAGAGAATGGACAAAGGCAAGGCGGTTCAGTGGTTAGAGACTGGGCTGGTGGTCAGGAGACGTAGATTTCAGCCAGCTCTGCAACTTCTGCAACTTCCTCCAAGTCTTTGGATCAGTCATGCTCCCCCCTTCTGGGATTCCATGTCCTCGCCCATGAAACGAAGGGGTTCGGATCCGGTGGTCCCCAAGGCCTCTCCAGGTCCCGCCAGTCCTCATATCCGAGGTTAGCTCCAGGGCCTGCACACAGGGCCTGCCTGATTCCACCACAGCTCACAAACATGATTGGAACAGAAGCCCCAGTCCGATTTCATTTTTCTTCCGAGGCTGTTTATTGCCTAAAAAATGTACTTAGTGGTAAATTCGTGACTGTGATGTTAAGTGTAGGCTACAAAGCCAGAGACCCCAAAAAATATTAAAAATAAAATAGTGAGGGGGAGGGGTGGGGAGTACAGAGCCGGAAGAGGGAGGGCCATCCAGAGGGTCGGGAAACCTTGGATTCACAGGAGCAGCTCATACACACGGGCACTATTCCTTATTTATTCACATCCTCTGCCCTGTCTGGGTTCCGCGTGGTCTCCACTTCTTGTTAGCTTTTCAGCTGCACACCAGGCCCCAGCTGGCAGTGGCTAATTGCAATCAGCAGGTGAGAAATGTAGGTTCTCCGAAAAGGAATTATCTCCAGCGCTGGGAACCATTCTGGGAAATGTAACAGACCTGGGAAGAGAGGGGGAGATGTTTAAAACCTGAACTTCTGTGAAAAGCATTAATTGAAAAAGACAGAACCGCGCACCAGGAACCCATGACTCGCTCGCCTGAAAATATAATGAAGCGACTTCATGTGGAAGGAAAGATGGGGGAGCATTTTCATTTCTGCAAAAGCAGCTCTTGCCTCGTGCGCACAGGCCCTGCCTGGCCTCTTTTCCCAGGAGAGCCAGAGAGCACAAAGGTTTGCTCTGGGGGGGTTCGTCTTTATCTTTACATTTTTCTGCATCAGTAAAACCATGACGCCAAGCTAAGGACTTTTTATTTATTTGTATTTATTTATTTATTTATTTTTAGAGAAAGATGTAAGGCAATCTACTGTGAAGTGGAATGACTTGAGAAAGCAAGTTCAAAATCAGGGCGCGATCTCGAGCTCGCTCAAGTCTCGTGCCAAGGGAGGTGGGGGGAGGGGACAGGAGGCGGGTACAGCCAGAGACTGACCCTAGAAGGTTGTCCCGATCCTTGTGGAAGCAAGCAAGCCACAAGGCAGGGAGCAAAGTCCTGGAGGGGGCTGTGATCTCCGCCCAGGCTGCTGGCCGTCAGTCCCATTGCAAGCACCTGGGGACACGAGAAAGGCCCTCTAAGCACCTACCTGCTCACTTAGAGAATCGGCTTCTCTCTGTGCGTTATCAGGAAAGGGAATGAAAAGCGTACCAGAGGGGTGATTTGAATTTCATTTTCTCAATATGTGCCCCCGTGGGGAACGCTGCGTGGTGTCGCATGCTGATTCAAGGAAAACGGTCTCTCTGCTCACTGAGGTTGAAGGCTCGTCGTGGGTAGCTCGCCTTGCACCAGGCGGTGGGGGCACCCGGAGCACAGACTGGGGGTATCCCACAGCCAGGGCCTGGTCTGGCCACCTTTACAGACAGACCCCCCACCCACAGCTCCTGCGGCCTGCTGGGTTCCGTGTTAGAGGAGGGAGTGGATTGCGCTGCGACCCTTCCCCAGACTCGGTAGAAGGCAAGGGCTAAGATGTGGCATAAAACACAAAAGCCTCGCTCCCCTGAATAAATGTTGACAGGGCTTTGGGGGAGGGTGGGTAGCTTTGTTTTCCCTTCCTCTTGGTCGTGTGTAAGACGAAGAGGAGGGCGAGTTTAGGCTCTGGGGCCTGGCTCCGAAGGAACCACACTTCCTGGTGGGAGGTCAGGCTAAGGACAGCTACACGAGGGCAGGGGCAGGCACGGGGTGGGGGGGGAGCAGGCAGATAGGGGATTTTGTCCACCTACAGGAGCCCCTCCCACAGTCCCCAGCCACTCCAGGGGCCCAAGGAATGTCAGAGGAGAGATTCAAGTCTCCAGGGGAGGAGATAAAGAGGCCTCTAGAACTTTGGCCTCGGAGCCAAACCCCAGGCTTTGTGATCAAAAGACAAATAAACAACCATTCCCACAGGGTCTCTCAAACCTGCTGAGCGGCACAAATGTTTCCTCCTTATAAACAAGCTTACCTGAAGAAGGCGAAGAAAACCAGACCCTGAAATCCCACAGTTTTTGGCAGACCCCTTAGGAGAAACGCCTGCCGGCAGCTTATCAGTGCCTTTCTCCCATCGCTCTGAAATAAGACGTCAAAGTTTGAACATAAACCATGAACAAACAAAATCAGCCCCGTTCTTCATGCCGGCTTCCCCATCCTGACACAGGGAAGGTTGAAACAGAGCTGCAGAATTCGAAGCCACTGGAATGAACTGAGAGAGGCCAATGGGTCGCGGAGGTAAGCAGGGAGAGGTGGCCTCCTTTCAACGAACACCAGGCCCCGTACCGCTGATCTGCGCAGGCCTAGCGTGCCCTCTTCCCACAGATGTCCATGGAGTTCTTTCCAGAGGTGTCACTGGCCAAGACAAATGCCCTAAGGAGCACCCACTATAAACCACCATTTGGGATATGTCCACACAGAGCAGGTCTCTGTCCCGGAGCTTCCATTCTAATTAGAAAATTAAACAGCATGTTAGTAGGGGATACGTGCCAGAGCAAGAACATACCCAGGAGAGGAGTGCCTGGGTGGCCCAGTTGGTGAAGCATCCAACTTTTGATTGCCGCTCAGGTCATGGTCTCCGGGTCGTGAGATTGAACGACACATCAGGACCCGTGCTCAGTGGGGAGTCTGCTTGAGATTCTCTGTCTCCCTGAGATTCTCTGTCTCCCTCTTCCTTTGTCTGCCCCCCGCATAAATAAATAAATAAAATCTTTAAAAAGGAAGAAACAATACATCCAGGAGAGGGGTGGAGAATGGAGAAGGCGACTTTTGAGCAAAGATGAAGGAGTGAGCCCCTCTAGGAGGCACTCTGAGGGAAGAAGGACCCAAGTAGAGGGCTCTTTCTAAGTAAGTGCCAATGACCTGAGGTTGAAGCAGGCCTGGCAGAGGCCAAGGGCACCATGGGAGCCAGTGGAGCTGAAACGGAAACACGAAGGCCGTCGCCGCAGATTCTGAGCACGGTAGTGCCCAGTGCCCAGGTCACCTCATCAGCCTGCTCTGCCGGGCTGGCCTCTTTAGAGCCACCTCTAGGGGCCTATACTCCCTGGTTCTCCATCAGCTACCACCTAGTCCCTGAGAGGCTCCTGATTAGTTACTAACTAAAGGGGAAGCCCCACCCCCGACTTCCTGGACAGACGTCAAAGCTCCCAATGCTTCAACTCGCAGATGGAGGCATCCTGGAGACAGACGTGTAGGAAGAGGGAGGCTGATCTGAAAGTGTCCCTCTCCGTTCCCCACCCCCAGGTCCCTACAAAAGCTGTCCACATACACTGAATGATTCAATAAAAGTTTGGCTGACCCTTCCCCACAGAAAGCATGGAGATGCCTCTGAAGAGACTTGGCTGTGTCCTGGACTCATCTGATTTGGTCTGAGTCTCTGACGCAAGCACCCAGGATTGATTTAGGGTCTACCACGCTGACAGACTCTGGCCTGGCTCAGAGAGGGATGCAAGCAGGGTCTAGCTTATACTGGGAAGCTGCAGCTCAGGGCTAGCCCAAGCACTTTGATGACAAATTCTTGGCTCAATGCCCCGAGGATTTCCTTGGTCAGAACCTCCCTGTTTGCTTTTCAGCATTTAGCAGCACAGGCACTGCAACACTCAGACAGAGCCTCGAAGTGGGGTGACCTTGGAAGAAAGGAGCTTGTTCCAGAAGCCCAGGGTTCTGCAGCAAGGCTATGTGACTGGATGTTGCAGTTCGGCCAGAAGTGGGTCAGAAGGGCCACGGCTGTGGAGTAAGTAAGCGTTCTGCCCTGTGATAGGGCAGAATGCTCCACAGCTGGGGACCTGTTGAGTAGTCTGTAGGTCTGCAGTGTGGACCCTGAAAACAGCAGCACAGGCAGTCAGGAGGGAGAGATGGACGTGAAGTGGAGGAGGGCAAGGACAAACTGGAGGCCAGCTGGATAGAAGGGAGCCTTCCCAGTTTCTCACAGCCTCCAACTTCATAGATGCAGGTGACCTACAGGCCAGGTGGGGGGCCTTCCAGCATGCACACCCAGTGGCCCCAGCACTCAGAGAAGCCCAGGGAGGGGGTCCAACGGCTGCGGGCCCGCTGCCACCCACACCAATGATGTGAGAAGGCGGATGGGTGACATGTGTGAGCCGGGACCGTGCCTCTCTTGCTCGGACGGTCGGACCACAGAAACTTCACACAAATTTCTCTTCGGGCCAACCCTCACCATGGAGGGAAAAGGCGAGAATTCTGTGAAACATAGTTCCCGCTTAGCGATTATGGTAAACCCACCACTGTGACTTTGACCTCAGGCCTCAGCTTCCTCACCCCTGACATCTAGTTGTTGGCCGGAAGGAAACTGTTGGGAGCATCCATGTTAAAGTAACAATTCCTTTTTCCCCCTCACTGGCAAGCCAGCAAGGGCAGCGCATCCCTCCAGGTCAACTTGCATCACACAAGGAGGTGCCAGGACAGCCCAGATGCTATTGTGACATTGGGAGGCCCTACTGGCTGGACTGAGTCCAGAGTCTCAGCCTTAATCCTCAGAGGAACTCCACATTCCATGGGCACACACACTGCCTCATTTCCCACCTTATCGTAGGTCTGTAGGAGTGAGACATTATCATATGTCTTCCCTGGTAGTAAAGTTCAGATCCAGCATGCGGCTGGACTGATGCCAGTCACCTGCTGAGGCGGTGGCAGCAGGTGATGAAGCCCATGCTCCGTCCCTAGCACTCAGGCTGAGAAGTCCCAGAAGGCTGCAGGGAGATTTTTAGGCTGCATACAGTTCAATTAACAATCCAGACCCAAACATGTTCTCTAGGAGTTCAGCTTCCAGGTGATTCCAGAAAACTAACACAACCTAATGAAAATTCTTC